ATACGCAAAGCTTGTGGGCGTTGCGGACGTAGCGGTAGGGTTCGTCGCTCAACAGGAGCCCTCAAAAGGTAAGCGTAGGACGTCAGTATTGCGCTGATGGCTATTTAACAGAATCGTCCGCAGTTTTCTTCTGAAGAAATAAAGTTTACCGTCAATCCCAGTTTAAGGCACACAGCAGGCCCAACACGTCTTGGTGGATTTCAGCTGCCGTCACCAGTAGCGAACACAAAACTCGTAGACTCCGAAGGGCCTACCGGTGGCGCTGTTGCCGTTTTTTAGTTCATGATCTACGTCTTTCAACTTGAGAGCAGCCGTGTAGCTTCACTATCACCCCATAACGTGTCAAAATTGCCGACACAACATACAAAACATGCCGCAATGCGCACTTGTCATTTTGGCTCGGCTTGGATTAGATTGAATCTCCGTGCAATAATAGTACGCTTGATGCTTAAGAGATGACATCAGATGGCACTGCTATCATCATCAATGGCCGGAACTAGCAGATGACATTATTGCGGCAGTTTTCAGGGGTGCGATAATTACTCGAGGAAAAAAGAAATCATATTTTTGTTGGGCGATGTGGAGGGTGCGAGACTTATGCAAGTGCAAGGAATATGCGAGTGAATACGGTAATTTAAATTCAAACCGAAGTGGATTCAAATACCTTGGAATTCGTTTGAATATTCGAAGCATTCCAATAATCGCACTAGCTGACGAAGGAATATTTGTGAACATCAAATATTCGAGGAATATTCGAGGATTGTGAGAGAGAAGTCAGCAAGGGAGGTTGGGTAAAAATTCGAAACCAGCTGAAACTGTTGTTCTAACCTCTGCAACTTCCTAAATGTAGCCCATATTCAGAAAATTCTTGTGGTAGCATGTTTACAAAGCAAAAGTGCACAAATTTCTCTTAATAACAGTTTTTGTACCTCAGGGCTGGCCCTTTAAAAGGTGTATTTGGGGCATCGTTCTGTCACGTAATAATAGTAATCGCCTATCTCGCGTGCCTTTCTTGCGTTATCACTGCACATGCTTGGGCACGATTGTGGAGCACTCCTGATAGAAAAATGGCGAGCGCATAGTTCTCGAATGAAAGCAAGGAGTATTGCTGTGTAGTTGAAAGCCGTCCCTGTTTGCCTTAGTGTGTTGACCTGTAAGAACTGGGGCAAAAATCAAAAAGAAAATGGTAAAACCTGGTGTCGTATGTGCCATAACTGGGAGTCTTGGAACCCGTTTAAACTGACCATTTAGGGCACTTTAATAGTCGCTTCGAATCGAGTACATTGGTGTTAACTGTTATGTTTTACCTGATTGAAATGCCATGGCAGGACTCGCTAGTTATTATGGCGGGTACAGTGCGGTCCACTGTTAGAGGGAACAGAAGCAGGGGCACGCGGCGCTAACTGGCAGTTAGATTAGTAATTGCGGCTCGCGCACAGTTTTGTCCGCTACTTCTCCGTCTTTGTGCATGAAAGTGTTGCAAAGTGTTTCCCTATTTTAGTGGTGTAATTTATTTAGCAGTCACTCGCCTAGTGCTTGCCGGATTTTCAGCAAGCACAAAAAATGTATGATTTTATTTGTTGCTGCAGTTTTTCGCAAGCTCTCATCGTGAAACTCGTCATATTTTTTCACATATTGCTCCTTGTAGCTGGCCGTTTTTCCTAATAGATGCAGCCAGCATTCTAGGCTCGCCTTTGCGATCATGAATTATCAGCTTATTAAAAAAGTGGAAGGCCGAGCTGGTATCAGGTGATTTACAGTGCGATAACGAAAGGTCATGGCTCGTAAGCGCACGTGTGCATGGGCAGAGAAGTAGCGGACCACATGCACCACTTTGATGAATCAATGCGCATGCACCATATAGCAAAATTTCGCCCGCAGTGAGCTCTACGTGCACCGCCAGCCATGCACTCGCATGTAATTAAGTGCACACACACATAACAGAAAAATAGAAAAAATATGTTCAACATGTAAATTGAACCCAATACATCACAGTCACAATTTAAAGCAGTCATATGCTTTCTTAGCAAGTACAGGTGGCGCCATCTTTTTATGCAATAATAGACCAGCATGGCGAATAAACTAATGTTTTTATCAAAATATATGGGAAAGAAACATATTACTGGTGAAGAAAATGGCATTTTTTGATTAACTGATATTTGATTAATTTTCAAAGCTATGTATTTATATTGGATGTGTTTTCGAAAAGTTTGATATTCTCACACCCCTAAAATAGATACATTCAATGTTCAAATAACAGTGGCCTCTTCAGATTTTTAATATACTTCACCCCATTACATTCTCCTACTGCGGCAAAGCTGCCTTCCGGGTTTTGTTACAGAAGCGAAAGTATTAAATAAAAACACCCCTGGTATTAACATTCAGATCATAGATCTGGCAGAGGTGGGGCCTCACTTGATACTCTGTTGGACCTGAAATTTGGGCAGGAAGTGAAAAATCGGACAACGAAGATATTTTAGGTATGAAAATGTCGGACATTCTTATATAGTATTGAGGTCAACAAGGCCCATTTAGACTCGAAGGAAGCACATTCTTGTTTGCCACATTACACGGGCTTCCACAGTAAGAAAAGGAGAGGCTGAAGGAGTGGCATCCATGCCTTTCGCGTGTGAAGTGTTGTCGGAAACAGTTTGGTTGCACCAAATCTTGTACAATTTGGCCTATACACTGCCTCAATCTCGATGAGATAGCTATGAAACACTACCCCTCCAGTACTCACTCAACATGTAAAAAAAAGCACTTTCTGTTGCTATCTTATAAGATTACGCATAGGGATCCTCTCAAGCTTTTTTTTTTTCTGTAATTTCACTTCGAAGTATTTGAAAAATATTCTATTTGATTCACACGCCCACTTCTCTATTCGAATTTGCTTTGCACTCAGAATTTCGCTATTCACACACCTCTGCTAAGAAGCATTTTTAGGCAGTGCAGGTCTCAGTTAAATATTGCTTTTTTACATTTTTTAGGTGCATGTGTGTGCAACAGCTACTCAATTTGCGCCAATTCGAAACGATTCCCGATTGTTGCGCCGAGCTGCACCTAAACTGTGAAGTTCGCTGAAATTGCGCCACGCTGCATCTTAATGCTCAGCCAGCCTCAAAATGTTCTCAGGTGCGCTGATTTTGGCGACAAATGGAGGCTATGTCAGCCACCTGCGGTTTGCACCATTGGTCAAGGCGCGCGAACTCTAACTATAGTGCCTAGACTATTCTAGACACCCGCCCTATGCTTTGGCGACACGATCGACCAGATAAAGTAACAACACTACACGTCCGTTGGTCCACTGACCGAAGCTGATACCTATCGGTGGGACAACGGAACTTGAAGACAGAAATTCGTTGCCGTAGCCACCGACGCTTCGCAGGAAATGTAAATTTTCTAGCCTGAAAACCCTGCTATGGCTTGTTAGGAACTAAAGTTTGGAGCGCATGCCGCATTTTCTTCGTGCGAACAAGACCGACATGCTGCGAACGCCGGCGCTGGTAGCGAGCACGTTTTTTGCCTTAGCAGTGGCACATAAAACATTTTTTGTCTTGAAGCGATCCGAAGCGGCACCTATCCCTACAGTGAAAAAATAAGTGGGAAGTGTATGGAGGACGGGGGTGTAGGGGTTAGAAAATTTCTTGGCCTTGGTTCTAACCAGTGTGTGGTGAGAATGCTGCTTAAGAGGGGACGAGGGTCTTAAAGTAGCACAAAATTGTAAAAAGTGCTAACATTCAAAAATTGAAATTTGAGGTATTTATAGTGAAAAGAATGTTTTGGAAAAATGTTATATTGTGGCAAAATACCATTTCTGTTTGTTAAAAGCTTAATAAATGAAATTGCAAATGTTCTTAAAACTGAAAACATAATTTTTTGGCATTGTTATTTTTGTGAAGTGAATGTGCCTTACGGAAGTTTTGAGCAAGTTTCTGTGAAGATATCTAAACAAACTTGGTACCATTCTTTTCCGCAGCACTTGAACTACAGGCTAAAGCTTTTCTTTTTCTCTCAACCTTGATAGAATTGTAATTATATGACAAATACTAGCTAATTACTGGAAACTCATTTTTACCTTTCAAGTCTAAAAATTATTTCTGATCAAAGAAATAGTCATTTTGACATCTAGCTTGCTTTAGCGTGTGGTATCAACATTTTAGAGGAAACATCTAGTTTTGAAAACCAACTTTTTTTATTGCGAGGTACCATAATGACCCGTAAGAAAGTATCTAATTATTATGTGGAAATCTGTCATTACTTTTTGTCTAAAGGAGATATTTGAAATCTGTTTGCAGATTTTAAATCTCCATTCAATGGTATACATGCATGGTAATTTTCATGACAGTAGGATAATGAATGAAAAAGTTTTTTACGACTCTGGTCTCCCCGTAAGCCACCTTCGCCGTAGTACACTGATACACCATGAAAAAGCGTATTGAGGTTTGAAAGGGGCTATTAGTCCTAGTCATGGGACATGGCACATTTTGTTCAATTACTCGTGCATTTGTTTGCTGCATAATTCTGAGTACCAGTATCATCACTGATGTCTAAATAAGTTACTGGGAATTATTTGGAGCAGTGTATGACATTTCTGCTTCCTAAAAAAAAAACTACATTGTTCAGCTTTTGTTTTTTTTTCGGCACCATTACTTGATTTTACCAATCTCCCGAATTTCAAAGTCGTGAGCTTGGTAGGTCCATATTTAAATTCAGAGTCTGTTAAATGATTTGGCAGGCGGAGCAAATGCTAATATAATATCATTGTTTGCTCATTGCAAGATTGAGGTGATGTTGAAAGGTTTATATACATTATTTTTTTCTAAATGTAAGCCTTCCTTTTTAGATTGCTCCAAATTTGGTGTTTTATGATAAAAAATGCACGCTTCTTTTCCAGTAACCTGTGCTTCAAAAGTAACATTTTGCTGCTCTGAAATTGCACCAAATTGTATTTTGGCTGTTTCACCCCTGGTGCAGTCATGTTTTTGTCCGACTATCGACAGGTTACCACCAAGAAAACTGGTCATCACCGAAGAGAAGATTGCAGCCCAGATGAACGATCTGAGCCTTGATGGGTAAGGTTGTTCACTACAAGCCACTGTCAGTCCCTAATGTGTCAACTGCTTTTCTAAGTGTAGATGAAGGCATAAAAAACTTTGGATAGTCAGGCAGTCAGAGATTTGGGCCATGAAATCGATGTGATTGTGTATTCTAAATGGCAACACCGTAAAAAATTTGCTTGTTCGTGGTGTGACCCTACATCAAAGTGGCATCTACGGGGATTTTGGTGTGTGTACGTTTCACAGTCTTACGTTAGGCAGCCCAAAAGGTGTCACGTGTACCTGCTTAGCACATCAGGCGGCCAAGCCCAAGGGTGCCTGATGAAATCGTAAGGTTATAGTGTAGCTCTGTTTAAGCGTGAAGAAAAAGGAGCTAGTGAAAAATGGAAATACAGATGACAGGATGACTTCTTCACTTGCTTCTGTTTCTTCACGCTCAAACAAAGCTGTGCTACAGTCAAACCTCGCGATTACAAAACTGAAGGGACACACGAAAAATTTCGTTCAAGTGGAAATTTTGTTGTAGCGAAATCTGCCCCAGAACACTTGTCACATTTGACTAGAAATGTCACAAACATAATTTATTTGCGAAAAAAGTCTGTCATCTTCGTTTGTCGCCTTCCGTTCAAAATCAGCGCCGCGGCGCGATGTTCGCTGTGGGTGATCTGCTGCATCGCGACGTCGTCATCGTGGACGCCAAAGAAATTGCGAATCACATCAAATGCGTCCATTACAGTTAAAGCAGGAGGAAGGCCCAAGCGTCTTGAGCGTCACACTCATCGTCAGACAACGCGTCCTCGTGTCATCAATAACTGCCTCATCCCTTAGCTCCTCATGAGCAATAACGTCCACATCAACGGTGACGAACTGATCTAGGCTCACATCGTTTGGTATACAATCGAGCCCGCTTATAACGAACCTGAGCGTGACGCAGCATCCGTTCGCTGTATCCCGAAGTTCGCAGTAAATGAAACACAGCTTTTAAAAAAAGTTGCGAGTGAAAACACAAACTTTTCTGCCCCAAAAAGTTCGTGATGCACGTGTTTCGAAGAGCAGAAGTGATAAGTGCGGTCTCGAGTTCATTTAAAACGGCAGGGTGCTTGTTCGCCGAGGCCCGTGGCATAAGCTGCATGAGGCACTGGCTCCAAAGTTTATTCATTCTCGCATTCCGATTCCTCCAAATCGCTCTCGCCACGCACTTCATTCACAATGCCCCAATCCATGCACAGTTCTGCAGTGTCGGCATCATCATCGGCCATAATTAAACCATCGCAACAGAAGTCCCACCCGCTCTCTTAGGTCGGAGTCGACAATGCGCTGCCACAAATCGCCGGTGCAGTGGCCCTGTACGAAAGCTTCAGGATCGACATCGGGCCCGACGTCGACGAAGTCGGCCTTGCGAAAACAGTTTCGCGCGCATGTAGCCGTCACCGCCGCCCACGAAATATTCACCATCTCCACAGCTGAATACCGGGACGCCCGAAGCAACAAGTTGGCTGCCAGGTGGTCAACAGCTATGAGCAAGTGCTCCGCAATGCGGCACCTAACGTGCGAATTACGCTCAAGCCAAGCAGTCACACTTTCGACATTTTGTTGATCGGCAGGAAAAATCGTGCTAGTCCTCCCGTCGGCCATCATGACCACACACGCACACCAAGAACGAGCAAGACGTGCACACGCGACACGCTTGCCAGAACGTGTGGAACAGCTCTGGGCCCGTTTCTAGTCAGAAAACGAAATTAATTTGAGCTAGCGTGGCGGGCGTCGCGGTGTGATGGAGACGGGCGAAGCGGTTGTGATCAAAAGAGGAGAGCAGACTTGCGAGAGAAGGGCAAGGGTTGCGATAAAAAGAGGGGAGGATGCAGCGGGAGGGCGATCTTGAAAACCGAAAACAGTGGAAGGAGGCTGGTTGGGTAGCTTGCTTGAAAGGTCCGCGAAACGCGCACATAGAAAAACTTGGAAAGAGTGCCTGCGCGCGCAGAAGTTAAAGCATGGCCACCTGGATCGGTGCACGCGGCACTGTTCGAAGAATCGGCGGCCGTAGTTGAAAAATCGTTTTGTTGCGCCGGCGGGTGTGCATGGCCTCACGAATTTCGATATTTCGGGATTCGTTCCGCGCAAATTAACAGCCGTTTTCGCGCTTCCGCACGCACGTGGATAGCATGCTCAGCCGAGTGCGAAGTGAGCGAGAAGAAGTCCTAAGTACGAAACGAAACGCAAATTATCAGAGTCGGTGGGGTAGCATATGCAGACTATCGGATGTTGGCAAATGACGATGTTGGCAAATGGTCTGGTCACTCCAGGCCGGCAACGCCAACGACAGTACCAGCGATCAAAAACAGGGTAGATAGCCGATCGTTCTTCGAAAGATCGCTGGCGGTGTGAAAACGCGGGCCTCGTCTGGCGATGCGGGGTGCTGAGAGTAGCGAGGGGATAAAAGACAGAGGGGTGCATAACTAAAAGCAGTCGGGGCATGGAGGAAGGAAACAGCGTTCCTTCCTCCGTGGGTCGGGGAGTGCACCAACAAGAGGGTCGCGAAGGCAGGGTCGGCGTTTGACAATAAGAATGTATGGGCACCACGCCGATGCCTGATTGGTGGTCGAAATCGGTTTCCCGGGAAGTCGGCAGACCGCCGACTCCGTTCGCTGCAACCGATCAGCGGGGCTCGGAGACGTTCGTTGTAAGTGCGATTTTGTGCCATTGAACAATTGTATATTTTCATGGTCACGCGGATATTGTTCGTTTTAAGCTAAAATTCGTTTGAAGTGGGGCCGTTATGTGTGGGCTCGACTGTATTTCTAGTGTCCCAAAGGACTGCCCAGGCCGCAGTTGCTTCTCTGGAAGGTGGCTTTGCTCTGCCATGATCGTCGTCTTCGTTGAGTTTAATTGATGAGTTGGCCGTTACTTCAGCGTAAGGTTTAAAGCCGGCGTGAGCGAAACAGTTTTTTATGATGCTTCACCGAGTCTCTGTCCACAATGCGGCAACCATTTGTAGGGCCATGAATAAATCCACTTTGGTCTGGCTCCCTGTATCACTATTTAGCAACAGTTGCTGAATGAGCCGCTGCCGATAAGCGCTTTCGATGCTGTGCAGTTGGGTGGGAAGAATTGCATGTCCACATTGCCCAGCTCAACGTCTTCAATGTTATGAGCTGAACAGTTATCAGTTAGCAAGCACACCTTGTGGCTTGGGCTTTCATGTCGTGGTCAAACACCATTATTTAATCACAGAAGATGGCCCGTGTCATCCACGACTTTCTGTTTGTTATTCTTTACAGGCAAGATTCTGCTGCCTTTGAAGCATTGAGGCTTCAAGCTCTAGCCGATCACAAGCTGGCAGGGTTTATCTGAACCATCCTTGTTAGTGCAGAGAATCAGAGTCACACGTTTCTTGCTGTGTTTCCCTCCGCTGCATGCTTGGCCCTTCATGTGCAGAGTCTTTTTCAGAAGCAGTTCATAAAATAGTCCTGTCTCATTTGCATTATAAATGTCGGACGAAGCGCAGTCTTTCAGTATGTCCAGCAAAGCAGACGATGCCCAAGTCGCTGCACCATTTGCGTCAGAAGCCGCAGACTCGCCGCGCAACACTTTTCTCACGATGTCATGCCGAGCCTTGAAACGTGTCAGCCAACTTGTGCTTGCAACAAAGTCCTCAATTCCTAAAATGCAAGCATAGTTCAGTGCTTTTTGCTGCAAAACACTTCCGCTGATAGGCATCTTCTTGGCTCGCATGTCAAGGAATCAAGTTTACAGTGCCTTTTCGAGATCCTCGTGTGTCGATGGCGTCAATTTCTTGAACTTTGTGGACATCCCTGAAGAAATAGCACTGGTAATCTTGTCCTTCGCCTTCAAAATTGTGGACAGCGTGCTGTTGGAGATGCCGAATTCTGCAGCAATGTCTCCTTTTTTTCTGCCGCTTGAAGCTTCGCTGATGATTCGTGGTTTTATCTCAAGAGTAAGAAACTTGCGCAAGGCCGTCTGCATAAGTAGGCGTTTGGTGTGTAGCGACACCACGGACCCGAGCTAACAGCGAGGTTTGGACTCTCTCCCACGCCTACCCATGCGTGGCTTTGCCGTGTCCGGCGAAAAGGGAATCTTTGGGGTTGAGCCGACGCCGGGTGATTGGACCTTTAAGGAACCCCGTCAGAGGCAACACATTCCTTTAGTCCCAGCTTCACGTAAACGGCACCCCTGGACTGACCGACCACTCAGGGGAAATTGGCAGTCGCTTTTCTCTATCTCTCTCTCCCTACATCTTCCTCTTTGTCTCTCACTTTTTATCTGTCCTGTCATCTTCTCATCTGTTTACTTCTTAGTTTCCTGGCGGCAAGGGTTAACCCTGTGTAGTTACCCAACCTTGGGTAGTTATATTCGGTTATAGTCTGATGGAGGCGGAAACGCTGTAGGCTCGTGTGCTCGGATTTGGGTGCACGTTAAAGAACCTCAGGTAGTTGAAATTTCCGGAGCCCTCCACTACGACATCTCTCATAATCATATGGTGGTTTTGGGACGTTAAACCCCACATATCAATCAATCAATATTCGGTTATAGTGGCAATGCATGGCTGGCGTCTCCAAATGTTTATTGTTCAACCTTGTAGCGTCCCCTTGTTGGGTTCGGTGGTGGGTGGCCACCATCGCCGCCGAATATTACATTTTCTGTATGGCACACTTTTTTCCCCCACTCCCTGATCGCCACCCGAAAAGATGGTGCACCGAAGAAAGTTTCACACTCCTGAAACCAAAGCTCTCGTTCCCAAAGTACCATGTAGTGCACAGCCAAAAAGAAAACAAAACAGTCCAGTCAATCTCACCTTTCCTCGTTTCGAAAACGCTTACGGAAGCCATTGGCCCAGGCTACAATGCAACCAAGTTGGGAAGCGGCGACCTCCTCTTGGAGGTACGCAACAAGCTCATATATGATAACCTATCTAAACTTATAGCATTTGAAGACGTTCCAGTCTCAGTAGGCCCACACAGGTCTATGAATACAGTGCGCGGTGTAGTGTTTGATGA